GGATTTGGGATTGTGAAGCTTATGTCAAGAAATTGTCTTCGAACAAGCTAAGCCCGAAATCCTGTAAATGTATATTTGTAGGGTATCCTAAGGAGACCAAATGATACTATTTCTACCATCTAGAAGAGCGCAAAATTTTTGTCGCTCGTACTGGTGTTTTCTTAGAAAATGATTTTTTTCTAAGAAGTACTAATGGGAGAAAAATATAACTCGATAAAGTTCTAGTACCACAAGATACATTAGATGAAGGACGGGGTAATGTGCCATAAGAGATGGTTGAACATCGTGAGGAGGTTACTTCACAATTTGTGGATCAAAGTGAACCACCTTAGGTAGCACAAGAGCTATGTAGATCTGGGAGAGTACGTCATGAGCCTAAGAGATACGGTTATATCATGACTCAACATGGTGACGTACTGGTCTACCAAGACAATGAACCAGAACCTACGAAGACGTTATATCAGATCCAGATTCCGTTAAATGGCTTGAAGCCATGAAATCTAAGATGGACTCCATGTACCAGAACCAAGTGTGGTCTCTAGTGAATCCACCTGAAGGGTTAAAACCCATAGGGTGTAAATGGGTCTTTAAGAAAAAGACTAACACGGATGGCAAGGTGCATACATGTAAGAGACGACTGGTTGCCAAAGGTTTTAGACAAATTCATGGTATTGACTATGAAGAAACCTTTTCATCGGTTGCCATGATAAAATCCAACTAGATTATGCTTGCGATTACCGCATATCATGACTATGAAATTTGGCAAATAGATGTCAAAATGGCTTTTTTGAATGGAAACCTCAAAGAGGATGTGTATATAACACAACCCGATTGTTTCATTCTTGATAGGTAAGCTAATAAGGTATGCAAGTTGCAGAGGTTCATTTACGGACTCAAGCAAGCTTCAAGGAGCTAGAATATTCATTTCAATGAAGCCGTAAAAGAATTCAGTTTCATCAAGAACGAATATGAGCCTTGCGTTTACAAGAAAGTGAGTGGGAGCGTAATGGCATTCTTGAAAAATTACTGCGACAAATCTGAACTTCACTCAAACTCAACACAAGTGAGCAGCTGAACATTACTGATTCAAGAACTACTACTTTTGAAGAAGAGACTAATCAAGTAAATCCATTACTGTAAATCTATAACATAAATTTTCACATTCTCTATACATGGCTATGGTAAAATCTCATATGCTAAATCTGACAAGTTGTAATTCACAAGTGGAGGCAATTTGGAGATTAATTAGAACAAGATGGCTAGTATTTTATGTTGCTGGACAGCAACTTTGAACCATTTGGAACTAAATGTCAAATTCATCTATGGTATCTTCTATAATGTCAATGCAGGATGCTACAGATTTTCCCATGGACATGGCTTCAGCAAGTTTGGCCCAAGCTACTTCGTGGTGGTGCAAAAGTAAGACTGTGTTTAGTATAACCCATCTGACTTGAGAATCTGCTTTCTTCTGTGTGAAGCCTAAGCCTTTAAGTAATGAATCCAACTGTTTCATAATCACACTAGTTCAATTAGTAATGTTGATACTTGCATAGTTCTGTCTCTTTTTCGATGAAATAAATTTTCATGGATAGGCTTTGAGTAGAAAATTGAGGAGAGGAACTGTATGAACCTTGTTTATATCAGCAAGGCCACTCTTAACATATCCATATAATAGATATTCCGTCGCCATGCCTACTAACGCTATACATGAGAATCTGTTCAGCGTCTGATAAGATATAATCAACCTTTAAAATTTTCTCATGTTTCAATAGAATATAATAAAATGGTGTTTCAAGACCAGCATACTATTGAAATTGATAAGTTGTCAACAAGCAGGAAGAAAAAAATGTGACAAGATGTAAACATACCGTAGCTGATACTTTACTAGAATTAACCTGTATGGCATGAGAAATCAAACAATTAAAGAACAATAGAAAACCTATAAGTATTCTAACATTGAGATGTTCAACCAGAAAGAAAGTGCCTAGTAGTTTTGTATGGTAGCTAAAGTCGCAGAGGGTGATAAGACAGTAGATTGAAGTGTTAATTGCAAACAACTAGCAATCAAACTCCATTCAGTAATTTTTCAAGAATTCGATAAAGTGTATGTTGATGACATACTTCTGATAAGGAATGATATACCGAATTTGCAGTCGGTAAAGACTTAGTTATCCAAGTACTTCTCCATAAAAGACTTAGGAGAAGCAGCCTTCATCCTTGGAATAAAGATTTATCATGATAGATCGCATAGGTTACTTGACCTAAGTAAGAGTACATACATTGACAAAGTACTGAAGAGACTTAATATGGAAGAATCCAAGAGGGGATTTCTTCCTATGTCACATGGTGTCTATCTCTCTAAGGATATGTGTCCTAAAACGGAAGATGAGAGAGATAGGATGAAGAGGATCTCATATGCATCAGCAATTGGATCAATCATGTATGTCATGTTGTGTACTCAGATTGATGTCTCATGTGCATTAAGCACTTGTAGCAGATATCAATTAGATCCAGGTGAGCGTCACTAGATGGTTGTCAAGAACATTCTTAAGTACTTGAAGAGGACTACGGATGTGTTCTTGGTTTATGGAAGGGAAGATGAGCTCATTGTAAGAAGATACAATGATGCTAGTTTCCAAACAGACAAAGATGATTATCGTTCGCAATTCGGGTTTGTATTTTGTCTCAATGGGGATGCAATGAGCCGGAAGAGCTCCAAGCAAAGCACTGTAGCGGATTCTACAATAGAGGCTGAGTATATTGCATTATTCGACGCGGTCAGGGAGGCAGTCTGGATTAAGAAGTTCATCACCGAACTTGGTGTGGTCTCCACGATTGTTGATCCAATAGATGTCTATTGTGACAACAATGGAGCAAATAGCTCAAGCAAAGGAACCACGATCTCATCAGAAGTCCAGACACATACTCAGACGATTCTATCTCATTATAGAAATGGCTGAGAGGAAAGATGTGCAGATCAGTACAGTGCATACTGATGACAATCTCGCTGATCCACTAACAAAGCCTCTGTCACAACAAAAACATGAACAACACTTGAGGTCATTTGATATTAAATATATGAATGATTGGCTATAGTGCAAGTGGGAGATTGTTAGAGTAGATGCCCTAGAACCAATCAATTATTGTAAAATTGACTATTTGTAATAATGTTCATTGATCAATAAAAGACATTTTATTCTATATTGTATAAATCATATTTATATGTATTGATATATGTCATTAGGATGGTAGAACCGTGACGAGGGTATCAAGTGTTTCAAATCTTGATAGTGAGAACCCTATGAGCACATATGGTGGCCATTCTATAAATGTATGTAGCCCTAGTATTATTTTGACTAAGTACACAGATAATACAATAAGACTATCATAGTGTTGAACAACCCTGTCGAAAGGCAGTGACTGATCTCACTTGCCAAGGTTGTTTGCCGACAACTTGGTGCAACACATGGGTGCTTGTTGTAGGCAGGTTCACTGGACTGACCCACCAAAGGATTCCATATAGATGGTAACCCTAGTGTCTATAGAATAAATCCTCTAACGAATGGTGGTGCATGTGATCCTTAGACTTGAGATCATCGAAGCGCCTTGTGCACTGATTAGTGTAGTTTGACACTAGCCCAATGTAGTTCTATTCAAAGCTATTAATACGATAGTGATTGGCTGCATCGAGGAGTGTATCAAACTATGGTGGATCGATAGAGGATTCATCGCTCCCGAATATAAGAGAAGTTATCTCATTATGCAATTCAGTAAATGACAATGACACTAAATCTGTGGCCACAATGGGATTGAGTCATTGCCCAATCCAATTTATTATTCTGGTCATTCGTCTAATAACTGAATACAAACACATCCAGAGTAACTGAGGTTGGCACTATTTCTGTACCTCAGTCTCGATGAGATAACAGATGATGAAATGATTTGATTGCACGGTAACCATATCGTTGACAGGTAGTTGTTTCGCTAAATCTGAATCTATCGAATGGTCATGATCTCTTACTAGGTGCCAATCTTGGTATGTGTGTAGTGAAACAATTAATTGGTGTTAATCGCGATACCACTCACTGCCGATATGATGACGAGCCCACGGGTCACACACATAGAAGATAATTTAATAATTAGTTTGTGCAAGAGGCATTTTCTTCTTTTAAGATGAAGTAATATTTTTGTGATCTCACGGTGCAATTAAATTTGCTAATATTGTTGTCTATATTTAATTTAATGTTAAAATTAAATAAGTGAAATTATATTTAAATATATATACGCATATATTTAAATGAATTATTATTGTTAATATATTTCATAAATATATTAATTAACTTTAATTATAATAATAATTAATTTAAAATAAAAATACCACAAAGGGGGTGTTTGGATACAAGGTTAGAGTTATGTCTATTCCTCATTAGAATAGGATTTTGACACATACACTAGAGAATGAATTAATTCATTCATTCAACCAAAGAAAACGAAAAAAGGAGGCAGCTCATTTTCTCTACTCCTCTCACGTTTGCCTTCCATTTTTCAATCAAAGATTTTTCTTTGATTTTGGTTTGATTCTTGAAGTCAAAAAGAAGATTTTTCTTTTATTTTGCTTTGATTCTTAAAGTCAAAAAAATCTAACAAATCCTTCTTTGGTTCTTCGAATTGTCTTCATATAAATCACCTTTCGTTCGATCCTATTCTCGATTAGTTACGAAATAGATTCAAAGATATTTAAAAAAACCTCCAAACATGCGTAAGATCTTTTATCCTTGTCTGGATTAATATTAAATTTGTTCTTTTAAATTTAGGCATGTAAAATATATACATCTCAGACCCTGATCTTAGGTTAATCAGAGTAATCGATAGAAAACAAAAATTTTGTTTTCCACTGCATTTACCCTATCGATTTAATTACCAGATAGTAACTCACACCGTCCAGACTTCCAAAGTACAACCATGAATAATGATAACCCAATCGAATATTTGCAATGCTTTCCTTTTCGTATATGACTTCCAGATAAAATTGCCATAACTAACTTGGCAGTATTTCATGAGATATAAATTTTGCCAAAGTCTCTCAAAGCTACAAACTTTCTTGCTTAAAAACCCAAAGAAAAGGAAAAATACATCGCCAGACAATAAATTCAATTTAATGGTTTAAAAAGCATGATACATATTACATAATTTGAATGGGACTTCATTTCGGTTTATGCAATCTTATATACAGTCTATTCATTGAATGCACACACAAACCCTATCGGAATAGAGCATAAATCTTCGTATAGAATATGGCCAGTTTTTAAAACATTCTCTTCATACCTGGGTAACAACACCTGCACTAGTTCAGGCGATAAGTCAATGCTAGATGCTAATAAAGTGTTACGACTGCTACTAGCTTTCGCAAGCACCAATTAAAACGGAAAATTGAATAAAGAAATAGGAGGAGGGTTCAGAACCTGCTTAAAGTGCCATCTCAGCTTGTAAGGCAGCAAGTTCATCTTCCTCAGCCGTGCGCTTCTGTGGAACAGGGCGAGCTTGTTGCCTGCCAGCAGGAACTTGCACTGGAGCAGCTGGAGCTGTGGTTGCAGGCTGAAGAAGCCGTTCTTCCAACTCTGCACCTTCCAGTTCTTCAAGTTCTGCTTCCAACTCATCCTGTGTTGCCAAAAATACCAACAATGTTCAGAGTTTCTTTCAAAGAACGTAGAATAAATGCGAATAAAACAAAATGTTCTCTAAGAAGAATTTCAATACACATCAAGAGAATAATGACCTCATCAAAATCGGCAGCTGCACCAATAGGAGTTGACAAAGCTTCCTGGATCTGTTTCATGTTCTCAGTCTGCTCATTGATCTCATCCATGGTTTTGTCCACATCATCTATATTCCTGAAAACAACCCAACATTATAACACACATCAGCCATTGTTATTATTATTATCATCTAAATTCTGTGGTGATATATTTATATGATTCTCCATGTCTTTCATGAAACAAAGAAACAAGGTATACACATTAGTGTAGGTTCCAACTGACTTATAAATATTTTCAACTTCTCCAGTAAAAGGCAAATTGTAGAACAGACCATGTATCAAATTGCAAAACTTACCAGGCAACACAAACTTGTCCCTTTATATAATGGAAAAGAATTAAAAGGAAAAGGGGTAAAAACCTGAGACAAAGAAAATATGCCATATACCCTGGTAACCGGTTCCACTAACATGCACAATGAAGATGCTAAAACCAATTTAATGTATGATGGAATTAAAAACTCTGGTAATAACAAATAAACAGATGAATCTAAGCAGATACTTACGTTGCTTTCTGCATTGCCTTCATTGCAGATGCTCCTGTCCTCAATGCATCTACAGTCTCAGTTGTGGCTTTTGCACCCTCTAACATAATCATCTGTTGACCTTATACATAATTAGTATAAGCATGCAGCAAAAACTAAACATTGATTACAAAGTTCCATCATCACCTGATCATGAATGCGCAATTGGAAATTCCCAAGCTGTTCTATTTGTTGTTCATATAGCCTCTTCCTCTTCAAACATTGTATTGCAGCTGCATGCATGCAACACAGGTAAATAGTAAGCCAGTAATCATACATGCTCTGGAGATTTTATTTACAAACTACCCAAGCAAACAAAAAAGATAAATGAAATTTTTCTCACTGAAACTACATGATAATTTCTGACAATAATACAATACAAAAATACAAAAAAAAAATAGAGATCTCCTTGCGCTTCTCAGCCATACCTCTTTTGTTCTTTGCTCTGGAGTATTCCTTGGCCCTTTCAACCTCTACAGAAGCCTTTTTCAGGAGTACTTTCTCCTTTTTCTCAAGCATTTCAAGCGTCTACACAATGCAAAGAAGATACAGTTTACACTATGCACAATGATAGCAACATAGAAACCAACATACCAGACAGAACCAGCATCATAAATCTCACTGAAAATGTGTAAACAAGTCAAGTCACAATAGATTCAAGTGCAAGAGAAATATCCTAGTGCTAAAATTTGGATAAAATCCTTAAACACCACTAATACTAGAAATGTGCAAGAGAACCATACTATGATTCTGTTAGGATCCCACATCGGGATCTCAGACCCACCAAGTGTGGTACTCAATCTTAGGGGCTCTCCCACCTATCAGGCCGGTCTTTTGGATTGGACTCTTCCTTAGACTTGAGTTCTAACATTGGTGCTTTTCGTTGAGAGTTGGGCTGCGAAAAGGGCTACCTATAGGCTAGATTAAGGGGTAGTGTGCTCTCCTTGGGAGGAGGTGCTGCATTGAATAACTGATAGGTGAGTAAAGCTGCCCAAAGGGGGAAAGAGCTACCATCAGGTCAGTATCGATAAAGTGAAAGTTGTCATGGACGTCGACTCTTGAAGGGGGGTGCAATGTTAGGATCCCACATCGGGATCTCACACCCACTGAGTGTGGTACTTAAGCCTAGGGGCTCTCTCACCTATCAGGCCGGTCTTTTGGGTTGGGCTCTCCCTTGGGCTTGAATTCTAACAGATTCAATTGCATTTAGAAAATCAAAATTAAACACCACTGTATTTTCTAGTTTCTACTACCATAAAAATTGGTCTTGGTTATGGTTCCTCAATGTTGCGGAGTGAATAACAAAAGTATAGTATTGTATAATTAGAAACATCATTCTTAATTCAAATTGTTTTTTTTTTCTTATTCAAAATATTTCCTTCAAATAATAATGCAACAAGAAACAGTCAAAGTTAAAGAGAACATAAAAGTTTCGATTGTAAACAATTGCACTCCACCGATCAACAAACAGCCTCTAATTAATTAATTAATTGCCCAGCAAAAATCATAATAAATTCGTAAACCCAGTACAAAAAAATTAAAAATAAATAAATAGATAAAAAAGAAGAGCAACAATGTGAAAAAAATACCTCATTTAACTTGTCAAGCGTTGTGAGAGCATTGGTTTCCTGTTTAGGTTTCCCAAAAAGCCGATTAAACATGGTTGATTCTCCGTGATTATTCAAAACCCTCGATCTTCCCTGTTAGAATCAAATTATTAGATCATCCAAAATCCTAATTCTGAAATTCTACCCTAACCGAAACTATTGATTTCAACGAACGATCGGACCGTATATAAAATTAAAATCATTTTAATTGAAGTACCTGTGAAAATTAACGGATTTTGGGAGTTCGATTAAAAGATACACGAGAGAGAGAAAGAGATCTGAGAATTATAAGAGAGACAGTGAAAGATTGGGTTTCGTGTTATCTTAATCGTGTTGTTTTGACTCTATTTTAATGGACGGATGTTCTCACTTCCTCCGACTGAATGCGACGTCGCTTCGGAAGGGTTGTTCATTGTTGTAATACTGTGAGTCTGTGACCCTGTTTGGATTATTTTTTACTTTTTTAATTAAAAAAAAAAAAAAAACATAGAAAACTAAAATGAACAGCATGTTAAAGGTGGATGTATATGCATTTGTTTTGGATTTCGAAGTTAAGAGATTTGATACATTCTCTTAAAACTTGGTTAAAATGACTTTTAATATTTTCAAAATAAATTATGTATAAAACTAAAGTAAAATATAATCTTTTCATTTTTCAAATTTTGAATATCCTATCATATCAGGAAGATGGAAATTAACTTTTTTTATTTTACGTAAAAAAAAAAAAATTATATATATATATATATATATATTATACACTAAATTCACGTACTTTTCATATCATGATTATCTATTAATTATGAATTTTTTCTAAAAAAAAATGACGGTGCGCATTGGCCTAATAATAATAACAACAATCAGTACAATTTTTTTGCACCAACAAATAATCTAATAACATTTTTTCATCCTTAAACTTTTAAATACTAATTTACTACCTAAACTATGTTAATAATTAAGTTAAGAGAAAGGGCAAGGATGGAAAAAAAAAAAAAAAAAAAAAAAAAGAAAGAAGTTATAAGTGAGTGCGGAATTGTGACAAAAATATCCTTTACAATTTAACTTAAAAGTTAATTGGATCTTTCAATTTTTTTATAAAATTTTTTTTTTCCTCCTCACATTATTCTTTTTTGTTTTCCACTCTCTTCTTCCTTTATTTCACATTTTCTGTGTCTTCTGAATCAACATTTCTTTCCCATCAATTCCTTCCTTTCTCCTCCTCTTTCCTTTCTTTCTTCTCTTCTTATTTTTCTTCTTCCTTTCTTTTTTCTTCTCTTCTCATTCCTTTCTTTCTTCTCTACTTCTCTCCATGGTTGCTTGGCCCTCGCGGTGGGTTTGGGTCTGCAGTGCACCGCTTTATGTCTCTGATGGTGGTATTAGTCAATAGATTTTTTTTGTTTTTGTTTTTCTCTATTATGCGGGAAAAAAATAGAAAAAAAAAAGATTAAGATGAAATGGTCTTAATTCTATGAGTATGATGATGATGATGGCATGATATCTTAAAGATTGGTGGTTGGCCAGATCGGGACACAAGTTGTTTAGGAAGAAAAGGGACAAAGATTGTGGCAGAAGTGTTGGTGGATGTGATGAGACAAGCGATTTATGGGTTGTTGATTATATGGGTACTGTGTCAAGGTCCAGGTCTCTTTGTAGCTTCAGGGGCAGTGGGATTTTCGGGTCAAAAGAAGGTGGTGATTTGATGAGTTATTCTGGAGCTCGGAGTTCTATTTCAACTGCAAGGAGTTTTGGGGCCAAGTGGCCAACGTCAGTCTACTCTTTGATCCAGAGAGAGAAGAAGTGGCTTCAGTGAAGCTGAGCCAAAAAAAAGTGGGATTGATAATGAAAGGAGAGATAGTTCAAAAAGAGGAGGATTATAAAAAGAGAGAAGGAGAAGAACGAAGAAAGGTGAAGAAGAAGAAAAGAGATTCATGGGGCTTGTAGATTTGTGGATTTGCTTGATTAATGGAGGTTTTGTGAAGATGGGAGAGACGGTGATAGAATGGATTGACATGACATATAATAATAAATAATTTTTTAATTCAAACAATCAAGGGCATTTTTGTCATTATAGTGAATATTACTGTTTTTAACGAAACTATTAAAGAAATCTAATAGGTGGTAAATTGGTATTTTAAAAGTTAGAGGTTAGAAAAGTGTCGTTACGCTATTATTCAGGTAAGACAAAGTCGTTTGCTCTAACAACAACCATTATTTTGATTAGGGCAAAATATTCATATATTACTCATGCTTAGAGATACTTTAAATCTCGATTTCAATAACTCTTTATTAGTTGTATTAAATTCTAACTTAGAAAGTGAACCAATTTACTTTTAGGGTGTGTTTGATTCAGGAAATGTTAGATTACTAAAATTTTATATTACCTTGAAGGGGCGTTTGGTTGTAGATTATATGAGATTACTAGGGTTATGTTATTTTATATTACTTTATTATCACATCTGACTGTCAAATAATATAAGATTCTAGTAATCTTTCAATGCCAATAGTAGTTAATGTTAGTAATATAGATTATTGAGAATCTTTAAAAAAAATGTGTTTAGTTACTTGGAATAAATGGGTGGATATGTTATATTAATATGTTTGGTTTAGATAAATAAATTGATAGGTATGTTATTTAAATTACTAAATTACCCTCTTTTTAAATATTATATAATATTATTTTTATTATTAATTTTTGAATAGTTTCTTTTAACCCCCAACATTTCAGATTTACTTAAAACACTCTTGCTTATATAAAACTTTAATTTATAACAAAATCACCCCCACCACCCCAAGCCACTGCCCACCATTGCCATCCGCCACCGGAAGTCTCCTAGAGTCCCCATGAGTAGCCCACCATCACCGAGAGGCTCTGATATGGCCGTTTCTGGCCATATTGATGGCCAAAAACACCCCTATCGAAGTAGATTTGGCCGAGATTGGGTAGATATCTCAATCGAACTGATATCAGCCAGATCTTGGGTAGATATCCCAATCGTCCCTTGAGTCCATTTCCTTAATAATCTACCCAAGATTTGGCAGATACGGTTGGATTTTGGCCAAATCTCACCGACGCCGGCATCGGCAATCCAAGACAAATCGCACCAACGTCGACATTGACAACCCTCCTTGGCACCCCGAAAATACTTCCCTCTTCCTTCCAACCAAAACCCACCTCACCCCACCTCCGTTAGTCTCGCTAATCGTCGGCAAAAGCAGGTTGTTGCCACCACTAGTGTTTTTCAATTTCCGGCTGATTTACTCATCAGAAATCAATTCTGTCGCCACCATTACACTCACTAGCACTTTCTCTTCAAAAGCCCCAACACCCCAACCTTCAATTGTTTGCCGATCATCATCCTAAATTCTAGGGTTTTGAGTGAATAGGAATAATGTAAACCTGACCCATCTAGGCTTCCGGGTCCTAGTTAAACTGATTAAACCGGTCGGGCTGAGCTAGGTTTTAAAACAGTGATTTTACATCTATTGAATGATAAATGTTTAACAAACACTTCATTAAGCGCTTGGCCAAATCTCATCATTCAGGACCTTGTAAAACCCATAAGATGATATTCCTTAAACCTTTCGGAGTTATGAATTCAATATCTATGGAATAGTGTTCTCTGACCCATAGAACTACAATCCCAATAAGCCAGTGTATTGATCCATCAAATAACTGAATCTCACCTTCTACTCTAATCAAAGACTATAGTCTACAAATCAAAGGTACACTACCCACTCAGGATTAAGTTACATATGCCAAAGTTGCTAAGGTGTGAAGTTTATGTTTTCCGTTACGGTAGTTACTCAGAATTATAAACTTCACTTGGTCCAGTTCAATGCATATCTAATGCACAAGTGTTTCTGCTCTAAAATCCTTATTTTAGTGATTCGAGATTTATTACCCTCACGAAAACAGACACACAACATCCTTATCAAACAGAGTGCCTAGCTTGTGTTATATGGTTGTTAACATAATTTCAAACTACAATAAAATCTCGCATTTCTTATATATGATTGCTTCATATAAACGAGGATTTTATCTTATCTATTAGCTCAAGAACCTTTGATCTACATATACACATGTAATATAAAGGAGATATGTGATGATGATACAAATAAAATATTTTTATTTGTTTAACAATTGTTTACATTATTTCAGAAAATCATTGTATTCATAGGGCATAACCCCAACAAATTCCTGCCAGATTCCTCTTTGAATTATGATTCGACTTCTTTAGGAAGATATCTCTTAGATTGCATGCTTAGGGTGTGAGTAAGATCCATTAGAAATATTTACAATTTGGCCCTTGAGAAATTTGGGCTCTACACAAGAAGAAGTCACAAGACTTGCGCATTAAATGAAGATTGATTCTCATCTAATCTGAACCGTTGATTGTTCTTTAATCTAAAGGATAAAAATTGATGTAAAAAGTTATGTAAAGTTAAGCAACCATTGATCCTGTCTACATCTATATAATTTAATTTGTAATATCAATGAATAATATAACTATATAAGGTATAAATTCAATTTCCTAGTTTTTTATAATTTAAATAGGGTATCTTCTTTAACCTTAAAAATGGGGTAATTTCGTATTTTATATGAAAAATCAACTTTGCAAAGTTAGGGGTAGTTTCTGTTGAATTTTGAAACTCCAAGGTAGTTTTGAAATTTATCCTTTTTTATAAANATATCTAAGTCAACTTAGAAGAAACATGTTCCATGCAATCTTGATGGCTTAACTAAAGTTTTCTCTGCTATTTTTCTTACTTCCAGGCAGCCCACTGTCAGAGATTTCATGAATACTATCGTTTCAACAACCCAAGATTTTGGCAGAGTCTTCCCACCAATAACATGCAAGCTGGATTCAACCCTCGGCAGTGTGATCCAGACTCTTGCTTCCAAGTCTGTTCACAGAGTCTATGTAGTAGCTGACAAGGAAGATGAACTTGCTGGTGTAATTACCCTAAGAGATGTGATCTCTTGCTTCATATTTGAGCCTCCTAATCATTTCGACGACCATTTTGGGTTGTCAGCCAAAGAAATGTTGAGTCAATGATAGTTTTGTTGTTAAAATCTATAACCTCATGAGCGGACACCAGATATTACTCAAATGAAGTTCTTATTTCCTGTAGTTCTTTTTTTCAAGTAACTCCAATTGAAATTCCAGGGAGTTTCCTCAATGCTCTATCATTTACCATCTGTCTAGTCCTTTCCACATTCTCCCACCTTTGCAACACAGCATATATATTGGATAGAACCACGAAAGGAGTTGGGTTTTCTGGCTCCAACTCCGAAAGCTTCATCACAGTTTCTTCTCCCAGCTTGGAATTCATGTGAGACCAACAAGCACCAAGCAGAGAATAGAAAATAGAAGCAGAAGGCTCTGATAATTCTTGTATTAGTTCTTCAGCTTCATCTAGCCTCC